CCGTCCCGCCGGCGTGCGGGCGGCTCGTTCGTTATGTAACTGCCCGGCCGCGAGTGAATGAATGGGGAGGCCGTTTTGGAGGAGGGGAGGGAGGAATGCGGCCCCCGCAGGGCGGGCGGCCTCTTCCCCGCTCCCGGCGGCGGGCAGCTGCCACCGGCAGAGGGAACTGAGCTTATTGCTTATTTCCTCGCCTTTTTTTTTTCTCTTTTTTGACAGCCCACAGTGTTCTGTCTGCGTGTTTACTTAGCAGCTTTAGGCCCTGATGCGTGAAAGGTAATTTTGGTGCAACGTTTAGAGTAGCTGACTTGCAGTTTGCAGATCCTGAAGTTTCTCTTGCTCCCTTCCTTTTCCTCAACGCGTTGGTATGCGTTCGCGGCAAACAAACGCGCTCCCTTCTGCTCTTTTGCTTTCCGCTCTCCCTGAACTAGGAACTAAACTATGATTCGTGCCGTTTTAAGGGTTCTGGAGTGTTTTCCTATCTGTACGAGCAATTGCAGAAGAAAGCTGGAAGAGATTGCCTGTTTCCAGGCTGGAGTGAATAGGCTTTCAGTAGAGATCCCTGGCCTGGTCTGACGTGGCAGCGGGAAGGTGTGGCGGGGAGGGAGCTGGATCCCGGCCGCCTTCCAGGCTCAGCAGCGGGGAGAAGCCCTGCTCCCGCCACCCGCTCCTTTGCTGCAGGCCCTCTGTCAGCGCAGGTGGGAAATGCTGCTTCTTTCTCCTGTGTTTTATATGTGCTTGCTTCAATTTCAAGTGATGCAGTCCGCTTTTTCACTTCTAGCGGACAGTATGGTGGTTGGAGGGAATTGCTTTGGAAGCAAGCAATTCTTGTTGCAGCAACATAGTTGATTATTGCAGAAAACTTAAAAAAAAAAAAAAAAGTTGTAATTAAAAATGTGCATTTTGGTACTCTTTACCGCCGGCCCTGGAAATACCATCTTTTTATGTGGACTGGCATTTGGCTGGGAGTTTGACTTCTGACTCTTCGTGAGCATCTCCTTGATTAGTAAAGGTGATTATTCCTGAAGCCATAGTTTGCCATGTGTTGGCATGAAATACTGCTCAAATACCAAGCTTACCCGGTTGAGCAGATGTATCTGTAAAGTCTTAAAATTAAGAGTGTGAGCAATTAGTTTAAACTGTACCCTAAGAAGACTAAGACAGGGGAGATGAAAGAGATTTCAGCTACAGGTAAGAGGAGGCACAGATTTTATATGTTCTCCTATCAAGTCACCTTTTAATGATCACTTGATAGTGCAAAAGAAATATCATAGTAAACAGTCAGCTTCGGATGAGAACAGTACTTACCGTAGGTGGGCTTTTAACTTCATAAAAGGTGTCAAGTGAGTGACTCCGCATTTCAAATGCAGTGGTAGTTAAGAGCTATTGTTTCTGAGGTTATGAAGCCCAAGAAGCTCCTTCCCAATGATCTTTCCTGACTCGGCGCTCTGGCGGATCAGGAGTTCTGTGTAGATCTGGCAGGAGGGTCTGTTCTTCTCGAACTTCTTTCGTGGACCTCTGTCCTCCCCCTTACTTGAGAAATGCTATGAAGATTACAAACAGTGAAAGAGTTAATGATCTGAGAAATAAACATTTTTTCCTGTCTGAAGAAAGAAAATGAGAAATTAAGGTTAAAATTTGTAGTGGCGTTTTAATTAGGAGATTCTCAAGTGACCTTTGTACGTGAGGTTACTAACATGGTTTAGTGTCACATAACAACATAACCTAGTCCCATCTTTGTGCTTTAAAAGTGATCTGATTTCGTATCTGACCCTAAGTCAGATAAGACTGAGACTCTGTTGTTATGATTCTTCTTTCTTGCAAGTAAGTCTCTAATAATCAGCATCTTTGGTACTGCTTTTTCTAACACAGAGAAGTAAATATTACATAGGGCCCTCAGCCCTTCCCACTACCAAATTAGCCAGCTTCTACTAAAACACAGACATACATGCACATGCTCTTTCAGTGGAAAACGTTGTCCTCGTTCATTTTCCGGGGGGGGGATGGGATTCGTTTGCTTGGGATTAATTTTTGGTGTCTTCTAGTTCTGCCTGATTGTTTAGAAGTAAATCCATATCCAATTTCCTTTTAATGTCTGAGCCCTAACAAGTTTGGCTAGAAAGAGATCAGCATCTCAAAGGAGCATGGGATTTTATTTTTGGGGCTCCTTCCTGTTCCTTTTACTGGTTTGTTGCTGTCAGTTATCACTTCTACTACTAAAAACTTCATATATTCACACAAAATATGCCTCTCTAGACTTTCACAACAATAAGCCCTAAATAGTTACTAGTTAATGTTCAGCAGCTGCTAAATGCCTCTTCTGAGAGGGTTTTATGTACTTCTTTAACCTTGCATGGTTATTGGGACAGTTTATAACATATATAAACATATACTTACATTACAAGGTTATTGCGGACTAAGGATACATATGAGCGAACCAGCAGCTGGTTTAACTGTGCACTTCTGAAGCCGTAGAAGCTTAGAAAATAAATACAAGCCTCTGAATGATTGCTAAGCTGTAGTCTGTGATCCATGAAGAGCTGGCAAGCCACATGGTGTCGACTCCTCTCTTCTAGCTGCATCTGTGTGTGTCTGAGGCCTTTGTTCCAAGAGGAGCTAGGAGGCCTGTAAAAGCAGCTGGAAATGAGAGGGAGACAGCCTGTATACCTCTGCTGCAACCTACTGTTTCCAGAAAAGATGCACCATCCTCATTTCCTTTCCTAAGAAGTGACTTCTGTAATTGAGAAAAAGAGGTGAGGATAGGAGAATCTGCGTTATGAAGCAGTCTGTGTTTTCAGTGTTGGACAAACTTATTTTACATTTTTCTTCCCCCTAATTTAGTCAATCTGTTAAAAAGAGAGAGCAAGAGGAAAGCAAATCAAGTCACGATGCTTCTATTCAGAGCTGGCACAGGGACAATTTTTTGCATGGCTAGTTATTTGAGTCCCCAAATTAAGAATGTGGGGAAAATGGTTGCCACTCCAAATAGCAGCTCAGAAATAACGATTAGCAGTTGTGAAGCATGCTGCAGGTAACTCTGTTATTGACTCATACGTTATAAAGAGGAAATGCATATGACTTGAAAAATCCTGTGCTTTCAAACATTGTCATGCTCGGACCGTATTTTCTAATACGTTCAAGCGAAATTGGATTGTTTGCACAGCAAATTACTGCCTGAAAATTGATTTGCCTTTCTCAGTGTCATTTGTCAAGTGTTAAAGGTGACCTGCAGTTGTAAGACTGTCAGATTATATGCCAACTACTCTAAAAGACTAGGATAGATGGTCAATGTGTAATGCTTTTGATAAGAAGCGTAGCTGTCTCTCATAATTATGTTTATCTATCTACTGTGAACCAGATCAGATAGTACTTTGGCGTGGACTGCAGCCAGTTTGTCTGTACTTTCTCCAAAAATGCTGCTTTTAGGTAGGTTTGTAGCTGCTTTTCTTTGTTTACATTTGAGTTTAGCATTGTGTTTTTTGAGTTTTGTTTTTTTTTATGTTAGTAGTTTTATGCTAGTAGAACCAGAGAAGTTGTGGTTCTGTGACTGACTTGCACTTCATGCTGAACAAACTAGTCTTTCATTAAATATTTCTAAAAAGTCCATGAAATTTCGATGGCAACATATGGACTTATTTTTCTAAGGAAAGATCGAGTTTGCAGGCTTTAAGGTTGTGATATGTTCATGGTTAAGATAAGTAGTATGCGGGCTCCATAGCCAGGCTGCCCGAGTGCCTCTGCTGCTGCCATAGTGCTTTAGTTAAATCACAATAGCAAAGTGAAGTAGACCAGAATGTATTGCAGTTTCAGCTCGGCTGTCCTCCCTGTCTGTGAAAATCGGCTGAGCTTTTGAATTATAGCATTTCATTCGATCACTTTTGGTCAAGCTAGAGAGCAGAAGTTGGAAAAGGAGCTTTTCATGTGTGAGGATGAAAGAATAATGGCAGGTTTGACTCCTGGAAATGTAAGCCCAGAGCTATGGAAGGAAAAATAAAAATGCGTTTGTTTTAATTGCTTAGTTCTTGAGCTAAAAAGCTTTGTAGGAGTAAAAGGAGAGGGAGGAGGAGAACAGGTCCAGTGTAGTCTCACTTCAAATTTGTCAACCAAGAGCCAAGGACAGCATCATGGCAGGTGTATTGATATTCTTCTTGAAGTTTCCAAAGGGACCAAAATAATTCATCAGAGCACTTAACCGTTTCTTCCCCCTGATTTTGCTAGTGGTACAGATCATCTTTCTTCTAGTTTGTCCGTGCCTGCATAGGTTTTTGGTCTAAACCTTCAACTCTGCCTACTCTGTCCTGGTTAACTTGAAAATTAGTTTGGACTTGACTTTAAGATGTGTTTTCAGGAACACTTGACTATTCTAAAGATTCAAAATTCACTTTAAAACCTTAATAAAAATTGCAAGTTTTTGGTCTTGGGAGGGAGAGGAGGCTGGCAGTTGCTTTGAGGAATTGTCAAATGATTACACTTGTATTTACGTGACGATACATCCAAATCCAAATTATACTGTGATTAATAATTAATATATTTTATATACTTTTTGGCCGTTTGCAGTTACTTGCTAAAAGGAAATAACATGCTAAATAACTTAATTAACAACGCACTGTAGTCCTGTTGCTGTGCAGTACTGTGGCCGGGTGGATTTCTGTGTCTTGCAGGTTCTGACCTTGGGACACCATTGCTTGCTGGGATGTCTTGTTGGCGTGAGAGCAGGGGCTCTGTCTTGAGTTGTAGTGTCAGTGAGTGCACCTGGGCTGCAGCTGAGAGGGCGCTGCTTCAGCTATCTTTGCAACATTGCTGTCTTTCAAGAAGTGTTAAATATTCTTTTTCCAGACTTTGGAAAGTTTCTTAACTGCTTACAGCTTTTGTTTTATAGTTTTGCAGTCTGCATAGCTAGGTTTTGAGGCATTTACTGTTCACTGTACTACACTCGCTTATTGGCAGTTGGCTTGTTCTGTAGGTAGTACATGAAGCTCATCTGGTAAACATTTCACAGGTGAAAGATGTAAACAAAAGCCTCTTTAATTGTTACAGTTCAGCTCTTAATTTTCTGCCATTCCTGAACTTTATGTATAAACCTAAAACCCATTTATTTGATACAGCAAATTCAATTGTTTCCTAAGCCTAAATGAAAAAGGAGTTCAACAACAATAGTAGTCCGCTTTTCTTCTAATTGTTTTATGGCACTTTAATAAAAGCCTTTCTCAGAAGTATCTCAGTATAAAAGATCATAACACTTTCCTACAGAATACTTGCTTTTGACTGTGTTTGCATGTTTAGCTAAATGGATTGAACCGTTTTCACCCTGGATGACTGAGAACAAGGATAGTTGGGATAGCAAGATAGAGGCATAGGCTAGGTGGTTCTGCCCCTCTCTTGTAGCGCACCAACATGTCAGTCCTGTGGAAGGATGCTTCATCTGACTTTTCAGAAGTTTTCAGTAACTTAACTCCCTATTGTGCAATGCTTTGGGGCAGTGTTTAATGTTTGATACAGTTGTTAGTAGTATCGTTGACTTCAGAAACTCTACTGTAGTGGCTGAAGTTAAGTACAAACATAGTTTTGATGTGAGGGCTTTGGCCTAAAATCAGAAGCTACTTGGAAGATGAAATGTAGGTGTATGTCACTTTAGCTGTCTCTTCTACTTATTTTTTTATTATTATACTGCATCCCCTTTTGACTGTTTGATAGAACTTATTTTTTCCACCATATTGGCAATTAAATCTCAGAGTTGAATTGCTTATGTATTAAAATCATTTAATTCCTTTAAAAAGCTCTGTTATTGGTGCTAGCATACTTTCTGGTTATCACTGGGATTTGTCTATTGCCTATATATATATATATATATATATATTTGTCTATACAAGTCTATTGCCCTTGTGCCTTTCTAGCTGTTCATCCTCTAGAGACTGCACTGAGGCATGTGGCCACACTCTCAGAATGGAAAGCTAAACAGCCCTGTTGCATAGTGCCCAATGATAATGCAGAACAGGTAGCGCAATCTCCAAAAATATCATCTGCAAGCTATCTGCTGTGACTGAATAACTTCTAAATCTTGTGTAGGACTAGCATCTTTTCCAATTCAATGATGTATAGGTAACTTACATTCACAGTACTGAACTGTATGAACTTACATTGCTATTTGAATAGCTTAATTCTGGGAAGCCTAGAAGCTTGTCCTGTTTGTGTGGTCAACCTGGTTAGAAATAAGGGGTATATCCTCTCTCATTCGCAGCATCAAGTGTTTTAAAAAACATCATCGCTTTTTGTATGATTAATTATTTCCTTTATTGCTTTAGGTATTTCTGGGAAAAGCCAGCTTCTGTTTGCACTGGTCTTCACTACCCGTTATCTGGACCTCTTCACTTCATTCATTTCATTGTATAACACATCTATGAAGGTAGAGTATACGGAAGAGTTAGAAAAGCTAGTAATGTTGCATGCAGAGTTCATAATTTCATTAATCAAAGCTTCTTTAAATGACCCACTGTGTAGTTAGTGCAGAAGAAGTTTTAGGAGGGCTTCAGATAAAGAATATGTCAAATGGAATCACTGCCCTATGCTTTTTGCACTCTACATGCATTTTTAAAAGGTTGTTTGTATGGGGACTGTGACACTTGGAACAAATGTTGTTCTGGTTATTAAAAAGCTTATAGAACAATGGTTCATTTTCAGGAAATAACGCTTCTGATTTGAGGCACTGGAACTTAAGAAAATGTCTTTTTATACACTATAAGATAAACCAGTGCTCAAAATGAGTAACCGGAGCTAGTGAAAAGTTCGCAGGAGTACACCTGCTTTCCATAGAATATATCTCCCTCGCTTACCTGTGAGGCCAAATTTGTTAGTTTTATTTATCTCTGCTTATATCTGACATTGAGTGCCAGAAAATAAAGCAGCAGACTAGGAGAACACAGCTTGTTTGGTATTTGTGTTACCAGAGCAGACACCTTGAATCTAGTTCCTCTATTTTTGGATTTTCTCGAGGTTCTTCAGCTTTAGTTCAGAGGATAATGCAATTTTGCTCAGAGCAAAAACTAGCCAGTCAATAATTCAAGAACTATTGAAGAATTAGGGAGATAATACTGTAAACATTTTTTTATATATATATATAGAGAGAGAGAGAGAGATGTGTATACACACATATATTTTTAGGTCTTAGACTCGCTCAGACTTTTGCTTCTAACAAGTGAAATATGTGTATGAGTATATTTTAATGGTAACGTGAGTCTAGATGAAAAGCTGTGGATTAAAGAAAATGTTATTGAAACACGAGCTTTCTTGCTGTGGGATTTCTGCAAATATTGAAATCTAGTGCTGGGTACGCTAAGGGAGCAGCTATTTCTTTGCGGTTTATTTGCATGATTCGAGATCGTGACCGTGCGTTTGTTCCACAGGGCAAACTGCCCTCCTACCCAGAAGAGGAATGAATGTGGGAAATCACACATGCAATATGCGTATTCATACTGAACCGAATCTTTCCTGTAATGAAAATGGTCCTCTGTTCGCATCCAATATTAATATGAAAAATAGAAGCCTCTGTGACAGGTTCCTGCTTAGAGACAGTGTGAGATATTTTTGACATTTCTGTCCATTATTGTAGTACCAAGACAAAACTGCCTGAGTGCCCTTAGCGTTTTTTGTTGTATCCTAAATACATGCAGATAGATTGCATATATTGCCCAGATGTAGTGCAGAACATAATCTACAATACAAATAAGCTTACCCAGAGCGTAACTAGCAGAACTTTCTCATCTGAGACAAATGCTGTAATCAGTGGTAGCAAAGTTGTTAATTTCTTTGAAGTCAGGATTTCCTTCAGTATTTTTAGAGAAATGTTAAGTAAACTACAGATGCCAACTTGAGCTGTATCTGTCTGGCAGCGATCATCAGATATTGAAGAAAGTACTAGCAGCTTCTGTGCTCCAAGAGTATATACAGGCAAACTGGCACTATTATGCCTTTCTTGCTGATCGGCGGACTTTTGTTGTTTGCAGCATTTTGCATCTTGCAGTTGCTTTTTGATTGTGTCTGCATCTGAGTACAGGCTACGTTTCTGCCAGTACGCTCTACAGTCATTATTCTCTTATTCTTTTGTTTTAGAATTACTGTCTTTAAAAGTAAACCTTTTTGAGTGTCCCAAAACATACTGTAATGCTTGTGGAAAAAAACCTTTATTAAAGATTTGGGGGTTCCTTCATGTTTCCTTAGTGTCTTTTATGACTATACCCTCTACCATGAGTTTACAGCTGTAGTAGGGATTGCCTAAATCTGATAACTTGTCCTGTGGTCCTTCATCTCCAGCCAGCCTGGATGCTAGTGCAGTAAGAAGTCTTTGGATTCTGAGCTCCCTAATACATTATCTGTAGTGCTTTGTATCTGTGAGCAAATGCTTTTAGTGATTAATAGCATCTGCAAACAGTGTGGGGTTTTTATTATTATTATTATTTTTCCTTTCTTTTCAACAGTGAAGAACCCTCATTTAATCTAATAAATGATTTGGAATGTTTCATCTTTATGATGAAACTGAGACAGAAGCCAAGTTATTTGTCTAATCTTCTGTACTGTGGTGTTTTCAGGACAATGTGAGCTCTGTCTTGATGATGGCAGGTTCACCTTTAGAAAGTCCTTTATTCTTTCTGATTCATTTTTCTCTTCTGTAAAATAACGCTATTTATCTATGCCAAGGGGAAGAGCTATGAAGTCTACTGTGCCATAGCAATTAAAAATGGTAAGGTTAGACATTAACTGAAACTGAACTCTGGTTCAGTGCTTCTAGCCATATGTTAACTTACTAGCTTTTATGGCTTTTTGATGGATGGAGAACATTGGCCATTCTTCAGAACGTTCTTCAGAATTTTAAACCCTTCTAAAGATCTAAATCGAATCAACTAATTTGTGATATGTTAAATGGTTGAGTCTGGGTGGAGCTTGTTGGATAGGTTTCTGGTTGCCACATGAGCCACACTACCCCTCTGGTTTTTAATGCAGAAGAGCCTTACTACTACCGTTTGTATGCAAGTGTACATTCTTTAACTTGAACGTTTTGGGCAGATGCTTCCCCTGCGGTAGCAGAAGTGATCTTCCTTCTCCAGTCAGTCCCTCAGTTCTGCCTATCCAAGAAAGGGTCTCTAAAGAAAGTTATGACAGTCACCTTCAACGAGAGGCAAGGTGATGTTTTATTTTAAAACAACAAAACCAGTAGAGCCAAGTCGTTGGTTCTGAATTACTACTGTGCTGAGAAAAGCTAAATCCCACCACGTAGTGTGAACTTGCAAAAGCATGTAAGCAAACAATGAATGCAGACTACCAGAACAGACAAAGCTGATTCCTCTTAGTGCCTGGGAAGAATATCTTCTTTTGGTGAATTTGATCTAATCCTGCACCCTGTGGTGTTCTGTTTGTTTTTTGCTCCTTGCTCTTTAGCTTATCTACATTGCTTGCTCATATGCCACTGTATATCTGATCTACATGAAATTTAAGGCCACGTACGATGGAAACCACGATACGTTCAGAGTGGAGTTTCTGGTAGTCCCTGTTGGTGGACTTTCATTTCTTGTCAATCATGACTTCTCTCCTCTGGAGGTGAGTGGGGCTTGGGGAGGGAGAGGGGGCTGGAGGGGCTTGTACTTTTTTTTGTCTAGCATACTTAGAACATGAAGATGAATATTTCTAGGCTAAGTGAAAAAAGTTTCTAAAGAAGCCTACATGTAGTAAGTAGATTTGGGCTAGTCCTATTTCTGTAATGTATCTTCACAGTGTAGATTTCTGAAAATGTAAGGCACCTAAAGAGACTTATTCTCAACATCAATTATTGTCAACATTGATTATTTTATCAAGCAGAGCATCTTTTCCCAGTACACCTTGATTGTTATATTAATTCAATAGCATCCTTCCTTTTCTTACCTTTGATAAAGAAATATATCAGAACAGTGGCAGTTTGAGTTGTTGGTGCCACCTGGTGAAAACAAAAAGAATTATTATAATCCTTTTTACATTTTGCATTGTATCACAGTAGACTAGAGTCTTTGAAAGAATTATATTGTATTTGTAATGCAGCTATGTGTTTTCCTATCAGAAAAATTATATGAAAAATGTAATTACAGGGAGTTCAAACAGGTGCATTTTTCCACAGAATAGAGGATAACTTTATCCATTTATTTTAAATGGACTGAGCGGCATTTTTCTATTCATTGGAGCTGGAAGGTTTTATTAAAGAGTACAGGAATTTTAGTTGCAAAGCTTTGAAGCATTGCTTTAAATGTTGTTCTATGTTAACTCATGCTTTAAACCAGTTGATTTTAAAAAGTTGGAAGAACATGGAAGAAAGAGCTTCATCTTCCATGCAGCTTTTCACAGCACCAAATAGCTAAACTATATTTTGTGGTATTGTGAACTGAACTAAGGAAAGTGCGCTAAGTTTCCTCATCAGTAAATCCACATCCGCAAGCTTGCTAAGCAGCTGATTTCGAGTCTCTTGTCTGCCAAGAGCTCTTATCCCATGCCATCCCAGGGTTGATTATGAGATTTTCGCTTAGATTTCCCTGTACCAAGGAAAGTTCATCAAAATTTATAAACTGGTTAGAGAGTGTAAAGTCAAGCTAAGTCAAATATCTTCCTTGCTTCTGTTACCAGTAAGACAATTTATTGTGTTTTTTTGTTTGTTTATTTGTTTTTTTTCCCGCCCCCTCAGATCTTGTGGACCTTCTCCATCTATCTTGAATCAGTTGCTATTCTCCCTCAGCTTTTTATGATCAGCAAAACTGGGGAAGCAGAGACCATCACTACTCACTATCTTTTCTTCTTGGGTCTGTACCGTGCCTTGTACTTAGTCAATTGGATTTGGCGCTACTATTTTGAGGGATTTTTCGACCTCATAGCTGTTGTTGCTGGTGTGGTCCAGACCATTCTTTACTGTGACTTCTTCTATTTGTATGTTACAAAAGGTAAGTACCGCAATAACTTGCAGCTTCAGATTGTGGAATGTAGCCATTAGCAGATTCATATGGATCTGCTACGTAGATATTACTAGTTGTTAATTCTCTGTGGGAGTTATCATTGTAATCTCCTTGACAGATTTATCAAGCGTATTTTCTGCTAGTTCAGGGCCTTCTGGGGATTGTTTTGAGTATGGATGGAATTGTAAATGTTTAAAAATTCTGATGAACTTCACTGACACAGTTAAAATAAGTACGGCTAAACACATTGCAGTTCTTGAACAAGCACGTTGCTCCTGCTTCCCCGACAATATTCTGTTTTGTGCTGATTCAGCACTTGAAATCTTTCCTGCAGGGCTTTAACTCTTGTAAGAGTCCAAAGGATTGTGGACATTTCTGTATACGCTGAGGGGAGAAGCAGTCATTTCTGCTGGATCCGTTAGTATTTCTGCCCTTCTTTGTGGTTATATGATGGAAGCTGGAATGCAAAGATACGTGGCTGTGTTATTTTAGTCATAACTCTAAGAAACCACAGCCACGGGCTGGTATGTCCTGTGAGGCTGAAAAGTTAGGATTCCAGGGTGCCACAAGAGGGCAGGATTAGAGCAGTTTGTCATTTCATCATAGTTCTATTTGCCTGTATTGAATAGAGGCAAGCTTGTAAGGACTGACTGTAGTGCATCCCTTTTGTAACTGAGTTGCAACATTTTGATAAGTTTTTGATCCTTTGAATTTTCAGCACTTGTATACTTCTCCTAGACAGCATCTGTGTTGCTAATGATTTTCTTTCCTACTTTTCCTCACAGTACTCAAGGGAAAGAAGCTCAGTTTGCCAGCGTAAGTGCCAAAAAAAACGTCGCCAGCATCTGTCCTTTTGGATGCTTGGACAGAACAATCCTTATCACAAGCAAAGGTGAAGATGCTTGAGACAGAAAGTCAGAAACACAGCTCTTTGTAGTGCAGGTAGTCATCAGCGGCTCTGTAAGAACAGAGGAAAAACAACCAGCAGATTTCTGTTTGATGCATCTTGCCTTTATCTTTTTTATTACTATGTATAAAGATTTTTTACATAAAGAAACTTATACTGTATTAATGAATTCAGTGTATAGTTTCAATTGGAATAGTTCAAAAAGTGAGATTTTTGTGAGATTGTTAATGACCAGGAACAAGTGCAAACTTTTTTTTTTAATTTTCAAGAATTTCTTTGAAATGACTTTTTTTTTTTCAGTGCACAAATGTGTGCATCCTTGATGGATGGTAGTCATCTATTCTTTCCCTTTTGATTCAATTTTCATTCCACTATATTTATTTTTTCCAAAAGGTGAATATACGTCAACTTAAATCTGAAACCACCAATGTTTGATGTGACGTGCTGGTGCTCAGTCTTTGTGCCCTCTGCTGACGTGGAGTTCCTTATTTAAAATGTGTGTCGGTGCCAGAAGGGGAACAGTCACACTTTGTCAGGTGTTTCCCTCCCAAAACAGGATGATGGCAAGAGGACAGTAAGGAAATCACTCTTGTGGCCACAAGGATGTGCCCTGTCCTGTGCTGCCATGATATTTGGGAAGGTAATCCCAATAATAAAAGCACTTGGCAGTGCAGGTTGTGAAGGATAAGAGTTATGGTTATGCTGTTTAGTGGCAAATGTTTGTGACTGTGTTCTTCGTTCAGGAAAAGAAGGTTAAATATCTTGGATGTACAGCCGTACTATATCACTGCAGCTGTAGAAATGGGAGACTCGTAAGTTGTTGATTACAGTAATCTGTAGGTGATCATTTTAAATAATGTCTACACTTTTTTTTAATGAATGCTTTATAAGCAACATCCATGTTCAGCTTCAAGTGGTTTTTGATGTCACTTTTGGATAATATTTTTTATAAACTTTTCAAAATCAGCAGCACCAGTTACCATTCTTTGTCATTTAAATGATTCCTTTTTTTTTTTTAACTGAGCTGTTGCATGATTTATCCTGTGTTACCATCCTCAATAAACATTTTACGAAACAGTGAAAATGGCATTTTTATTTCTGAATTAGGGTTCTCTGTTAGCCTGAGGCCAGATGAAAAGTCGTAGCAAGGGCCAGTTGTTTAATTTCCTCGCTCCCTCTCCTGAAACATGGACTGCGGAGGGGGATGTGGGGCGCTGTCACGGGAGGGCCTCAGCCCCCGGTCTTTTGCAAGAGCTCCGTCTCCAACGCGCGCAGCTCGACTCGAGCGAAGGAGTTCGGGCCCTGAGAGGTGAGGGTTCGATTCCTGTGCGCCTTTCTCCTCGGTCTGGAAGAAGTCATGAACGTTAGCTTCCCGTGGCTGCTGCCGGCCGCGGCGGCGGCGGCTGTCGCTCTCACCTCCCCAGGCGGACGGTGCGCTCCGTTTCCAGAGCGGGGGCCGAGGTCCCGCCACCCGTCCCCCTTCTGCGATGCAGGCCCCTGGGGCCGCA